CAGCAGCCGCAACCGCAGCAGCGGGAACAGCAGTTGCTGCAAAACCAGTTTCAGCTGCACGAGCAGCAGCAGCGGCAGCAAATGCAGCCGCAGCAGCTGCAGCCGCAACAAGCATTCCAACAACAGGTTTTCCGGCAACAGCAGCATCAGCCCCAACACTCTCAACAGCAGCAGCATCAGCAGCAGCAACAGCAGCAGCAGCAGCAGCAACATCAGAGACAGCCGCAGCAGCAGCAACAACAGCCGCAGCAGGCACCAATAGCGGATTCTCAGCAAGTGCTTCAGTATCTGATGCAACAGCAGCGAAACCTCCAGTCAAACTGGCAGCAGCACCAGCAACCGCCGCCGCTGCTACCGCCGCCACAGCAGCAGCAGCAGCAGCAGCAAGGGTACAGTCAGCATGAACGTTCAGAACCATACCAGCTGCAGCAACAGGAGGTTTACCGTCAGCAACAGGCACAGGAGCAGTTGCAGATGGATCAGGAGCAGGTGCAGCAGCAGCAGCAGCAGCAGCACCAGCATCAACAGGTGGTGGAGCAACAGCAGCAGCAACAGCAGCAGCAGCAGCAGCAGCAGCAGCAGCAGCAGCTTGATCAGCCGTATTTTCTCGAGTTTATGCAGCAACAGGAGCCGCAGGAGCAGCAGCAACAGGGGGAAGCGCAGGAACAGCAGCAGCAGCAGCAGCAGCTGCAGCAACGTTCATACTACAACAACCAGCAGCCACAGCAGCAGCCGCAGCAGCAGCAGCAGCAGCACGAAGAGGAGGTGGAGGAGGAGGAAGAGGAGGAAGAGGAGGAAGAGGAGGAGGAGGAGGTCGAGGCTGAGGAAGAGTATGAGGAAGAGGAGCAGCAGCATGAGCTGCCAGGTTTTCCCACCGAGGGTGGTCTTTCTTCCGAGCCTTCTGCACATGTTACAGCTTCTGCAGATACAGGTTTGGGACTTGTAGGTTCGGAGGCAGCGGACCTGTCGCTTGTAGGGTCGGCAGTAGCAGGCTTGGAACTTGTAGGTTCGGCAGTGGCAGGCTTGGCAGCGGACGGAACAGATGCGTTTGACTTGGACGTTGAGGTGGCTCGGCTTGGGGGAGAAGAAGCAGAGGGGGAGGAGGAGAACGGGCAGAGGGAGGGGAAAGAGAGAGAAGATGGGCCGGAAGGAGATGGTGAAACTGGTGAGATGATGGGTGGGAGAGGGAGCAGGAAGAGACGGCTGGAGGACTTACGACAGACGGAGGGAGAGGTGGAAGGGGGAGTTGAAGAACCTGAAGAGGAAGGGGAGGAGGAAGAAGGGAGAGAGGGAGGATCAGGAAAGTTGAAGAAACGAGAGAAACGTAAGGAGGGAGAAGGAGATGGTGAGGAAGGAGGGAACAAAAGTAACGCCCTGCTTTGCCCATCCATTCCCACAACTCCCTCACCTCTCCTCTGCTCTGAAGCTGAATTCCAACAGCTCTTAACCTGCATCAAAACCTCCACTAACGAGGATGCCATCGCCATGGTTCTCCTCCTCCTGCTAGAGGAGCAGCGCGCTGCCAAAGAGACCTCCTTCTTCCTGAAGCGCCTGCGGGTGATTCGCTCCGAGTACCTGCTGCGCCACCACTCCCTCGTGCGCTCCATCGAGCTCAATCTCCATCGGGACATCGCAGACAACAACGCAATCCGCCAGCAGGAGATCCAACGGCTCAGGCGCGTCTGCATGGCCGGCATGACAGCTGGCGCCACGCTCTCGCAGCACCAGATGGTGTACCGGCGGCTGTGGACGCGGCCACGGTCCCGCGCGTGGTGGGAGGAGTGTATTGACCCGAATTACCCTCCGGAAACGTTCCGAAAGACGTTCAGGATGAGCCGGGAGACTTTCATGGAGCTGTGTGACATTCTCGGGCCGCTGATTGTGAAGCGGTCTACCAGAATCAGGGAGGCGATTCCTGTGGACATCAGGATTGGAGCGGCGATCTGGCGCCTGGCCACTGCCGAGCCTCTGCACTTGATCTCCAGGAGGTTCGGGCTCGGCCAGACCACTGTTCATTTCGTCTCGAATGACGTTCTCAGGGCGCTGAATGAAGTTGTTCTGCCCAAGGTGGTTGTCTGGCCTGAGCCGGGCAGCACCCGGGCAGCTGAAATTTCTTCCCAGTTTCTGGACCTGTTCGGACTGGATCAAGCTTCGTCTGTTGCACAGCAGCTGGGAAACGGGAGGCTGATTGCAACTCTCTACACAACCCACCTGCCCATCAACACGCCTAGGTCTAACCTTGCAAAATATCACAACAAGCAGCACACTGAGCGTTTCGCTCGCCCCTCCTACTCCATAGCCATGCAAACGGCCATTGATGCTAACGGGCAGTTCTTAGACCTTTGCATCGGGCTGCCCGGCGCGCTTTCTGACGAGGAGGTGTTGCAGCAGTCGACCCTCCACCAGAAAGGACACAATGGAGAGCTCCAGGGAGCCAAGGTCATCGGGTTGCGGTCGTACCCGCTTCTGGATTGGCTGCTGGTTCCGTACGCCCAATCAGACAGCGCCACGTGGTACCAGACGACGTTCAACGAGTGCATAGAGAAGGGCACTGCGGTGGGGAAGGACGCGATTGGGCGGCTGAAGGGACGGTGGAGGATCCTGCTGAGGCGGGCGGAGGGGAAGCTGCATGAGCTGCCGCGGTTGGTGGGGGCGTGCTGTGCGCTGCACAACTTTCTGGAGCACAAGGGCGAGGCGTTTGACCCTGAGTGGGCGCATGAGGCCTTTGATGACTACGTGCCCGCCAAGCAAGCCGATGACGAGTCCCCTGCTGCCGTCGCCGAGAGGGATGCGCTGGCCCACGGCATGTTCCAGGCCGTGCACGGGTGGGAGGGCCACGCTGCCAATGCGCTGTGAGGTGGAGCTTGGGGAAGTCGTGGCTCATATGGTGGCTTGTGGCAGTGATGAGAGGATAGTGAGGTGGAGTGGGAATAAGTGGGGAATGGTGGGGGGTTGTTTTTGTGGATTGAATTGGGTGAGGATCATATGTTACAGCAAATCAAGCTTGTACGAAAGCTGATAACTAGAATGCTGGCTGAGGTGAAATTATGAACAGATTATTGGAGATCTTATCGTAGTCTCTCTGCCAACCCCTTCTGAGAAATTTCTTCTGTACTTGTACCGTGCAACAGTCAGTCAGTCTGTCTGGATGACAATTATTCGCTGGCAGAACCTGCACTGTACATAAGTGTAACATATATCCTTACTACCATCACAGTTGAAGAATATTCTGCTACATGGATAATCAACTTCTGCCTCCTGAGCCTGCTGCTCCTTGCTTGAGCTGAGGGAGCACCGGCAAAAGGGGAGAGGAGTGGGGAAGTAGGGGGTTTCAGGAGGTAATGATTTGGAATTCACTAAACAGCGAGTAACATGCATACATGGTGAAGGATAATAAGGGGTGAACGGAGGGTAGGAGGGAGGGAGAGAGATGCGCAGGAAGGAAGTGGAATGGAAATTATAGGCCACTAGTAGGTACCTGTTCACTGAATTCTTTGACTTGCTCCATTAACGACTGCCGCTGCGCCACACCTGAAAAGCGAACACGATGGACGACAACGCAAAGCCGCATAAGAGACTCTTTCCCGAAGACATCAACCTCACAAAGAACTTTGAAAGAAGCGATGGATCTGCGACCTACCTTTCTGTGCTAGCTCCTGCAGCTTCTTGTTGGATCTGACAGCAAATCGCTGAAAGGTAGGGCTGTTCGCTAATCGATCAACGATCAGCTCGTTTGCCACGTACTGGATCACACGCTGGAGCCACGGGCCTCCCGCCACCATGATTGGATATGGACTACTAGTGGCGTGACCAACACGCTACGCTGGTATTGAGCAATCTAGGCGCGCAAAACGGTCTGGCCTTTGCTGACGCCAAGCGCAATCAAGGTTTGCGTAATGTAGTTGTGTGAAGCCAGCGACCGTACATTTTGTGGAAACAGAAATGAGGTCGCAGCTATGAGACCCGCGGAACTGCGACGGATGAAGTGGTGGTGACGGAGAAAGCTTCCAGAAACACTGGAACCCCCAGGACCAGAGGTTCGAAGCGAGGGAGGGTGTTTTGTTGTGAAGAAAGGGATGGTGGTTTGGTGACGGCGGGCAACAAAGTGTGTATTGTTCGAAGAAACAAAACATTTTATGCGGTGGAAAAACGACGTGTTACTGTATTCCAGTGACCTCTCCGCTTGTGCGTGTACAATAGGGGGTAGCTGCATAATAGAGGGTAGCTTTTTAAACATATCCGAGTGTTCTCCAAGACCCTACCGGTATCATTCAAACCCAACCCTGCGGATTCAGTGCAGGTGAAGCGGGCACTTATCAACGCGACTGCTTCCCATCCAACCTTCACAACTACTCTGCGTTCTTCTAGTTGGAGTTCCTGACGAGTTCCAACACTAGCCACCATTTCACACCTCTGCTCCTGCTGTTGTCATGGCCGCTCCCGAGAAAGGTCTGGTGGCTCACGCAGCTGCACTGAGAGCAGCCCTTGCAAACTCCCAGGACATGACGGACAACATGATATTCACCTTAGACTCATTCGACGAACGACTATCCGAGCTGGAGCGCGGAATTAGACCAGTTCAGGTGGAGTGTTGACGAATTTGTGCGTGGTTAAGAATGTCTGTGGTTGCTAACACGGTCTTCGTGCAGGCATCCACAAGACATCACCAAATCATTCACGATAACGTGACCAAGGCGCTTGACGCAGCAACCTTCATGATCGAGCAATACGAGAAGTTTCGAGCGGTAAGTAGGCCACAGCTTCTGGTGTTCCCGACAGCTTCTTATGTATGCCTCTTCAATATCCAGGTCGCGAGAATAATTGAGAATGGCGGTTCAGGAGATTTAGTAAAGTACAGGCAAGCTCTAGACCGATTGGCTGGCATCATCGCATTCTTCGAGCGACACGCGGAACAAGAAGATGCTTCGCATGCGCTGTTTTGCGCGAAGAAGCTCATTCAAGAAGGAATACGGAACATGAAAGATGCTCTGAGGAAGGAACTGCTGGAACTGTAGGTCACTCTTGCCGTCTACATGGTGTTCCGCGGCACTGGCGTTCTCCATTTTTCGTCACTTTCCATCCTCCTCGACGAGCATATGGGTTGCCTGGATGTAAGGGTTACCCATCTTGGTTGTCTTAGCAGGAACGATGTTGACATTTCCGACGACGTAAGGGAAAACGACGGGAGTTCGGCTCTTGTCTCTCGCCTTGTTGGTTTCGTGCAAGCACTGGTGAAGCTGGGCTTTGCGGAAGACTGTGTCAAGATTTATGTGTAAGAAAAGTACTGTATTTCTGTGAAAAGTAATCCAGAAGCATATTGAATTGTGAGACTCACAGAGGTTATGAGCAGGGATGTGAGGAGGAACTGTGTTGAAGAGTTTCTTCAACGTTCTCAGATTGACTGGAAGTCCTTGAAAATAGCTGATCCTGCCTCTTTGAAGTGGAAGGACATGGAAGGGAAACTTCAGACTTGGATGCACTTGTCAGCTGTATTGGTCAGTTTCAGCACCTTAACTTCCTCTTTTTGCTTTGATTTGTTATTGACTTCCTTTTTCTGCATGACAGACAACCACAGTGATGAGCACTGAGGGCCTCTTAGCAATGCGAATATTCAAAGGCATGGATGTCTTGGGGGCGAGGGCTAAAACCGGAGCTTTGGCATACATCATGAAGATTCTTATTGACGCTGGGATTACCTTCACCAGTGCTCTCAAGTCACCTGAGAAACTGTTTGCGACTCTTGACATGTACGAGGCAGCTGAAGAACTTTTCACACAGGTGAGCGATCTTGTCCGACTTCTATGTATTTCGCTTATACAAGGAAAGGAATCTAAGCTGGAACACTATAACATTAGGTCACACTGGAGAAATGGGATGACATTGTAAAGCGGGTATCTTCGCTCAAGGAGAAGTTATGTCTGGTGACTGTTCAAACCATTCATCAGCTTGAAGCAGCGATTGATAATGATGACAGCAAGCAGCTTCTGAATGGCACAGTTCACCCTCTAACCAGCTATGTAATCAACTACCTGAAGTGCTGTCACGAGTAAGGCATCAACAGACCAGCCATTTGGCCAACCATCTTGGTTGATTTGCATTTGACAAATGTTTGCTTAACTGCAGGCGCTCATCAGTTTTAGAACGGATGTTTGTGGAAGTGGAGAAGGGACCTGGTTCGTTCTCACAGCTTACCCACTCGATACTTGAGGTGTTGCTGAGAAACCTGGACAAGAAATCGAAGCAGTACAAGGATCCCGGCTTGGGATGCGTTTTTATGATGAATAATGTGCATCACATTGTGCACCAAATCCAGAGGTGGGTCTTTGCAGGATTAATTCCAATAGAGTTGTTGTTCTGTTTGTTTAGTGCAAAATGTTTAACTGCCAACTGCGTTTGGCATCCAGGTGCGAGCTTAAAGAAGTTCTTGGGGACGCATGGGCTCAACAGCAAAAGTTATCAGTTCAGCAGTCGGCGTCAGCCTACAGACGTGCTGCTTGGGGAAAGGTAATCGTATGTGCTTTTTAAGTGCCGTGATGGCATATGGATCACCAACCAAGTGCAGGTGTTCAGCTTATTATCTCTCAGTGGAGAAGCAGCTGGAGCAGTGCAAGCAGACCTGCAGTCGACCAGCAAAGGCACTATAAAAGAAAGGTATGGCACATTACATTCCCTGGATACGTGTGGGTAACTCCTTGTTCTCTTACACCATGAAGGTTGTCGTTGCAGACTCAAGCTATTCAACACCGCATTCGAGGAGCTCATGGAGAAGCAGCGGCTTTGGGCCATTCCTGATGCGGAGCTTCGCACATCAGCCCAGCTTCTTGTTGGAGAACTGGTTGTCCCAGCTTATCGGTCATTCCTCTTCCATGCGAGGTCTGGATTCTGAATCCTTTTTCCATTGTATTCAGCAATCTAGGCTCTTGATCTTTCAATTACTATCAAAGACTAACCCTGTCATGTGTGCAGATCCAAAATGGACCAGCAGGTTCGTCATTTCCCTGGTTCCAAGGACCCTCTGGGCAAGCATAAGAAGTACAGCCTGGAAGAAGTAGAGAGCATGATCGGTGAACTATTTCAAGGGCACTCTGAGTATCTTGCAGGAACATGATGTTGTAGAAGGGTATAGAATTTCTTATGACCGCTTTATGGCAATTTGAAATTTTAACCACCGAATTGTTAGGCTAGACCACCTCCAATGCTGGTAAGGAATGTATACCATGGCAGCTACGTTCTGTGATCGCATGTGTTGGCCTTCCCTGAATCAAATGCGTTTTCACACCAGGAACTAGTGAAATGGAGCTTGATTACAGGTTTCCAGCCCAGGCAATACGATCGTCTCGCCCTCAATGTTCAGCACGTGTGCTGCTGTGCTTTCTTCTCGCCATGGATCCAGATCCGACAGCCTCCGTCTCAACAATTATTCTCCTCGTTGGCATGCGGATCAGCAGGTGGGACACGTCGTGCATCGACTAGTTTGGACTTATGCCAGGGCTGAGTCATATCTCCGCGTGCAACCCTCAGTGTCTAATTTTTTCGATGACCATCTTATCTGGGTCACCGTAGAGTCTTGTAAAGGACGAGAGCGACAATCTCCGACGTTGGATCATCCGCAGTAGTATTTTCTCGATTTTCATCCGAACGATGGAGTTATTAGCTTCCTGAAGAAAGGGTCTCTAAGAAGACCACGTGTCACGTGACGCGCAGATTTCCAAGCGACGATCTCGTCCTTTTGCTACGAGTGGTTTCACGCACACCCGGTGTTTAGCTAACCTAACGCGTCGTCCTCACATGCAGTCGCCGCCTACCGAGTCTATCCGTTGGACTGGATGGCCGCGTGAGTTGCACGGATTGCCATCCACTCAGCACTTTCAATCAACCGCGTGCGATGCCGTCTCTCGCTCCATTCTCCACCTCCAGCCTGTTGATATTTTCCGCCCTTCCATTACGATCGGCTGGCAGCAGGGAGAGACTTCTCTACTAGAGCGTATATATCTGACAAGAATCTCATTACAGCACCCCAAGATGCCAGAGGTCACCTTTTCTGGGTGTGATGGACGAGAGGGTAGGAAGGACGATTGCTGTTTACTGTTTGCTGTAGACTCTTATCACCAAGGGAAGTCTTCTTGGAGGTCGGAGGTGCGAGTGCGAGCTGCCAACAACATCTCGAGTCAGGACGAATGGCGGATTTTCAACAAGCTTCACGACCCATGGCGGCTGAAAAAGACGGTTCCCTGCCCGTAGACGGTCTGGGAGCGCTCAAGCGGAAGGGTGCGACTCGGAAGCGGAAAAGATCGCGCGGAGATTCATTGCCGAGCGAGAGGGAGGTCAAGGCGGCTGCTGCTTGCGGTGATGATGAGTCTCCTGCTGCTCTTCTGGCTGCGGCTGGAGTTCTCGCGCGACCGTCAGCCGCTTTTGCAGGTGTGAAATTGTCAAGCCCCGCGCGGTTTTGCTCGTCTTTCCTGCTCTGTTTCGACTTTCAAGCCAATATGGGTGCTAGACGTGTCTGTACTGGTCTCTCTGTAGATCTATGTGCACGGATCTGCCTGTCTTTGTTGGTCGCCTTGTCAAATATGTAGTCCTTTTCATGCCTTTTTCCTGACAATACCTACTGCAGAAGCGCCTCGGGCTATCGCCACTGAGGGACGCCTTCGTCAGGACCTGCCACATCTGCCTTCGCCTTTGTCCCGTCTACTCTCTCAGAATTCCGTGACAACTGTGCCTCTCGTCTCCTCACCCCGACTCCCTGGACCCAGCATGACTGCTCTTATGGCGCTGGAAAATAGCTGTGCGGACCTTCTTAAGGGGGTCCCTCCTTTGCAACCTTCCAGCAGTCCGGACCTTCTTACCAGATTTCCCTTGCTCTTATCCAGCCCGGTGGGGTCAGTGAACTCCTCAAACCCAACCACCCATGGGACACTGACACCGTTTAGCTGCATGGATCCAGCACTCACCTGGTTGTCTCCTGCAGACGAACTCCAGAAGCTACAGGCAGCAGCGAGAAAGCTTCAAGTGCCACCCACGTATGAGTGCAAGGAGTGTGGGAGGATTTTCAACCAGCCTCAATCGTTGGGAGGGCACATGTCCAGACATAGACGAGGTACGCTTGCCAATGCTTTCGCATAAACCCCACATCATATTATTAGTTATTTTCACTGCTTTAACTGTATTTTGTTTTTGTCTTATGAAGCTTTTCATATGATCATTTCTTACCCCAATATGCAGATGAAAGGCGGAGGATAAGACGCAAGAAAAAAGTGGAAGCAGATGCTCGGAAGGTGGCACAAAGCTTATGTGAGCTGCTGAAAGCATCGACGTCCCCTGAGAGCTCTGGCATGGCTGAATGTCCTGCTGATGCTCTTGAGCAAAACGAGCTGAGGAGCAACATCCCAGCCATATATGTACCGGATGAGCAGCAAGAGCAGCAATCTTTTCATGAAGTTGTTGCATCTCAACAGCAGCTCCTGCTCTATAAGCAGTTACTACACCATCAGCTCACCACTCTCCCAGACCATGTCCTGGTGCCTCCTGCATCACACCTGCTGAACCAGGTTATTCAACAGCATGAGCCTGCCACCCCTTCTGCAGCAGTCCAGGAGAATGACACGCGTGAAGTCCCGCCACCAGGTGTAATCTCTGTTTTTGTTGGAGTGAAGAGGTGGGAGGAGAATGAGTCCTTGGGAGAGAAAGGAGAAGCAGTCTGGAATGCGCCCAAGGGATTATGGTCGTCAGCTGAGCAGCATCAGGATGCAACTGGTAGTGGTAGTACCAAGCACACTAGCTCGGGTGGCTCACGCGAGCTGGACATTGATTTGAACTTGATTCCTGCAAGCGATGTAGAGATTTGAGATGTATTTTTTGTATAGACGATGGCACATTACTTTGGTTCTTGCATTGTCTAGAAGATGTGTTGGCTATATGAAATTTGTATACTGGTAGTTTTGTTAGTCTTGTGGGTGACATTGCTGAGTTAGTGTTTGATTTCGTATGGAAACCAAAGTTGAGTATTGAATTGAAATGATTGTTTTGCTTGCTCTTGTGCGTGTCCTTCTAAAGCGCGTGCAAATGTGTCGAAGTCTTGCATGCAATCGGTGTCAGCACCTATATTATCGAATCCAGAAGCGACACGTCTGCTGTTGTTCGTGCAAAAGAATTTCGTTGAATGCTTGCTGCTCTGTGCTTGTGGTGCCTTGGAACTGCAATGGTCTGTGAGTCTGGAATCTGGATCTGCTCAACTCAACATACCTCTTTGCTTGCTTGGTATTGTTCCTGTTAGCTAGTAGCTTCAACCTTCCCGCTTCTGGAACTTGGCGGGTTTCACGTCACCTCCTTATTGTCACACATCTCCGAGCGCTCTACTGCTGACCCTTGGTAACACCAGGGGCCTCAGGAGCCCCGTCAGTGCCCTGCTCGCAGCTGTGCTGACCGGACATGGCCTTAACAAATTCCTCAGCAAGAACACTTCTCATTAGGCGGTCGCAGCGCAGTTGCAATGCATGGACAACGCCCATCGCGCCGGGCCCTCACCATGTCGCTTTCGTTGCAAGCATACGCGAGAAAGCGTCGTCTGGATGTTGCGCGGGCCAAGCAGATAACCCTGCTCGTTGGCGTGATTGCGCGTTCGTGAAAGGCAGACCAACATGCATATCTCGTCGACGTGTCCCCTTGAATTCCTCGTGCGATTTGGAGATTCCATCGCCGACCCTCGCAGTATCACGTGATAGTGATCACGTTCCGGGGTAGATTCGGCATGCGTCGCCCGGATTTAAAGACATCCAAATTCGTCGTCAAGTTGCTTCCTCGGAGATCCGTGACGTCACTCTTCCTCCAATCACCCAGCGATTAGCCTCCGAGCGTGCTGAGATGTCGTCACGAGAGATGTCTGTCAGGCTTGCAGCTTCGTACAGCCACAACGTTGCGAAACTGGAAGCACCCTACTACACCTTACGCAGATTCTTATGCAGGGCTCATTGCAAACCCTTGCAGATCGATCTCCTCACCAGCGATTTGTTTGTTACAAGGAACTCCACGAGCCCAAACGACGCTTGTTTGGTTGGCAGCCAGCCAGGGAAACTTTGCTCGGAAAATGGCTTGCATTGGAGCCACTGGCTAGTCATGGTTGCCTCTCAGGGATAACAGCACTTTGTCTGACACGCGCGCAGCTTCCGAACTCCCGTTAGCAAGAAGTGCAGCAAGCGAGTACTAGTGTTCGAGTGCAATCTGACGTCTGACCCTTCGTCACCTCATCGAGGACCAATGGAGAGAACACCAGGCGCAACGGCTGGGTCCTCTGCGCCGGCCAAATCGTCGTCTCTTGTGATTGGCGCATCCACCTCAGCAGGCACGAGAGAATTTGCAAGCTCTGGCGCCTTAGAGCCTTCTGGCTCCGTACTTGCTTTAAATCTTCCCTCGTCTGGTTTCGAGTGGACCTTTGAAGAGACTCCCTTCGGCGCCATAACTGAGTCGTTACCAGAACAACCGTCTATACCACAGTCGCTGTCCCCGCTACAAGCACTCCCGCCTAAAGCTGTGCCGCCAATCCCCTCCTTGGAGTGTTCTGCTGGAAGTACTACAGCTAGAGGCCTCAGCAGCAGCGGCAGCCGGCGTGCTCGAGTAGATTCAAAGCCACAGACTGAGGGTATGACGGAGGGAGGGGAGGAAGGCAGAGGAGGGAGATGGGCGTGGGATATCCAGGAGGGGGGAGGTGAAATCGAGCCCGCGGACTCTAAGAGAGGCTCTTTGCTAAGTGGCAAGGAGGGGAGGGGTGTGGAGAGGGGTACGGAGGGGGATAGGGAGAGGAGTAGGGGGAGGGGAAGGGGACGGAGTGGCAATCGCAGGAAGCAGCCTCGGGTGTTTCCGAGCGAGGCGGAGTTGAAGCAGGCTGCTGCTGACACGAGGGAAGGTGGAGGGGTGGGAGGAGGAGGAGCAGGAGGAGGTGGAGGAGGAGGAGAAGGAGGCAGTATGGGAGTGGTGAGGGGGGGTGGTCGAGAGCAAGAAAATTTGTTACGCGTGCAACAGCAGTCAGGTCCTCCGGCGGTGCAGTGGTTACCGCAGCAGCCGCACCAGCAGTATCAGCAGCCGCTACAACTACAGCTACAGCAGGAGCAGCAACAGCAACAGCAACAGCAACAGCAGCACCACCACGGGGAAGAGGAATTGCAGCAGTTGCAGCTGATGCAGCAGAAGCAGCAGGAGCAGCAGGCGCTTATGCAGCAGCAGCAGCAGCAACAGCAGCAGCAACAACAACAGCAGCTGCTGCAGCAGCAGGAGGAGCACCAGCAACAGGAGCAGCAGCAGCAGCTGGTGATGCAACAGAAGCAGAAGCACTGCCGATTTTGCGGCAAGGGATTTGATACTCCTCGGGCGCTAGGAGGCCACATGAACATGCACAGGCGAGGTGAGGTGAGGTGACACGCGAAATGGTGTGAGGTTAGTAAGATCGCTTCAGTTCGGAGGTAAATTTGTCCTGTTCCACCATGACATTTGATGATTGTGTTTTTGCGTAATCGTGATTACACCTGGTTTGCTTGACATGTTTCCTTGTCCTATTTTTTCCCTAACAGAGAAACAGTATGAGGATCAGCTTGTGTTGCAAGCAGGGGAGAGAGCAGTTGCAGAGATGCGATCGCAGCAGCACCAACAGCAGCAGCAGGCTCGAATTGAGTGCTTACAGAAATTGCAGCAGTCGCTTCAGCAGCAGCAGCAGCAGCAGCAGCAGCAGCAGCAGCAGCAGCAGCAGCAGCAGCAGCAGCAGCAGCAGCAACAGCCGCAGCAGCAACTTCAGCAGCAGCAACCTGGCTATGTGGCATCAACAAGAGTGCTGCCAGTACCACCGGCGGCATTCACGCTACCAGCAGCACCAGCAGGGTTTTCGCTACCAGGACCACCAGCAGGGTTCAGGCTACCACAACCACCAGCAGGGTTCACGCTACCAGCACCACGCACAACACCATCTGCAACAGCTACATTAGCAGCACAAGCACTCCTCCCTCCACCTCAGGCGCGAGCTGAGCTGCTGTTCCCACACCGCCACATGCTCCCTCGTTCCTCTGGACCCTCAACCGAGATGGGCAGCAGGGCAGCTGTCCAATTACCTCCTTCTGTACTCACCAGTATGCCTCGGGTGGAATCAGCATGTGCGCCTTGTGATTTGTCTCCGCCATTGTTCACTCGGTCAAGGCCTCCGGAGCTCCCAGACCTAAGATTCCATCAACAGGCGCCGCCGAGTGTTTCGTCTCGTTTCCATGAACACGCGCCACCATCCATTTCGTCTCTGCCTCACACACCCTTGCAGCACACGCCATCAGCCCAGACGCGGCTACCACAACCACCCAGCAACGTCTTTGCACCCGTGCCCATCCCCTCCGACAACCCCTTCCTCTCTGCCCTTACACCTGAATTTCTCGAGTCTCTCTTTCTTCAAACGCATGTTCCAGGAACATTCGTTCCGGCCACTACGGCCCCAGTAGCCCCCACAGTCCCCACAGGCCCCAGCGCTGCTACAGCCGCTACAGCCGCTACAGCCCCTCCTTCAGCCGCTGTAGTTGGCTCTGCCTCTTCATCGTTGCCTCAAGTTCCCAGTTACGTACCTCCGCCTGAGCTGCAAGTTCCCTTCTCTCACCCTCCTGCCTTGCTCCCTCCTCAGCCCCCTCTGTCTCAGCCTCCTCTGTCTCAGCACTCTCTGCCCCAACTTCCTCTGCCTCAGCCCTCCGCCTGGCAGCCTCCCATATCTCAACCTCTGTCCGAAGGGCCTCCCATGTGGCAGGCTTCTCAGCCTGGCCTTCGGCCGCGTGATTTCCTGTTTCGTGGTTTACCGCCGCATTCTCTCAATGTGCATGATCCTAGGGATACACAATCTCAGGCATGGCTGCAACCACACAGGCTGGAGCAGAGGCAGGGACTGTGGGAGCAGAGGCAGGGGCTGTGGGAGCAGCAGCAACAGCAGCAGCAGCAACAGCAACAGCAGCAGCAACAACAGCAGCAGCAACAGCAACAGCAGCAACAACAGCAGCAGCAGCAGCAACAGCAGCTGCAGTTGCAACAGCAACAGCAACAGCAGCAGCAGCAGCAATTGCAGCAGCAGCAACTGCAACAGCAGCAGCAATTGCAACAGCAGCCGCAGCACCAGCAGAGGTTGCTTCGTCTTTTGTTTTCACTGCCAGGTGTTTCACTTCCTGCTATGCAGGCATCTCCTCAGGTTGCGTCATTTGATGCGTTCAACCTCGGCGGTACATTCCCTCCTCCACCTGCTCCCCATGCTCAAATACCCGCAACTTTGCCATTGCCAGCATTGCCACCACCAGCTAGACCACCACCTGTTCAGTCACAGGAGCAGCAGCTGATGCAGCAGCAGCAGCAGCAGCAGCAGAGCCTGGAAGAGATTCACCAGCTTATGCAACAGCCGTGCTATGAGCAGCTTGCTTCAGGTCTTGGAGTTGCGAACCCCGGTTCAAGTCAGGCAGGGCAGGAATCTGGCAGCAATGTGCCTTTGGATGAAGAGATAGGGAGGTTGGAGGGCGAGATTGCGAGGTTGCAACAAGAGTTGCGAGACCAGGCGCAAGGCGAAAGAGACGCCTTGAATTTGAAAGAACAGAGGGCCAAAAGCTTAATTGAAGAGGAGGATTTGTGGGATGGTGATGATGAAATGAAGCGTACTATGGAGGGGGAGAGTTGGAGTGATACAGAGGTTTACAGATTCAATAGGTTCTCTATTTGCTAGAATAAATCAGCTAGATGATGGGGTGTACAATAACTAGACGTGGCTTGTGCACCACAACTGGTAAGAGAACTTTCTCATCTACTCTGTACCTTTCCCCAGCAGTAGATTTTAGCATGTACTGGATCTGCA